CTGGGGCCACGGGAGCGGGGCCGCAGTGACTCAGGGCTCAGAACTGGGTCCCTCTGCTGCGGTCCCCAGCCGGGTCGGCCTGACACACCAGGCACCCGAGGCGTGTGCAGGAGGCGCTGGGGAAGGGACGGCGGCGCTCCCCCACCCCGTGGAGGGCACACCGCTTTCTTCCGCAAACCCCTCAGAGCGTATGCTCTATCATGAATTAAAAATGAAAGGAAAAGTGGGCCAGGAGGCGGCAGAGTGGTTAAGGCGGGTTACGTGGACTCCACGGCCAACTGTGGCTTGAGTCCCAGACCCAGCGGCTTGAAAATCACACGGGCGCGCGTGTGTGCGTGCACAAAATCCCAGAAGGAGAATGGAGGAGAGGGGATTGTGGCATGGCCACCCCCGGGCGTGATTTCTCACTCTCCCTCTCCGTCTCTATCAAGCACACACTCCTTATAGCCAAAAACCTAAAAAATAAAAGAAAGCAAGAAAGAAAGAGGAACAGAAAAAGCCAGGGCTGGCCCCGCAGCGTGGCAGTTGAGAAAGCCTGTTCCTACACGTGTGCAGCTTGAGTCCCGGCCCCTGGCAGCTGGAAACCCACACACGGCACATTTCCGGGCCCAGCAGGGTGGAGAACTGGAGGAGGCTGTGGTGGGAGCATCCAGCGAGGGGACCCTTTCTCCCTCTCCCTCTCTTTGTCTCTCTGTCTCTTTCTGGTGAGGACGTGCACTCTCTGACAAAAAAACCCAAGAGCAGGGGACCAGCAAGGGGCGTGGGGGTTACGGTGCTGGGCATATGGCCGACCACGCTTCAAGCCCTGGACCTGGTGGCTGGCTTTCTCACTTTCTCCCCTCCGCTCTCTGGTCAAATTAAAATGAATGAATGAATGAATGAATGAATGATTATTTTTAAAAAGCCAAGAACGGGGCCCGGCAGGGGGTATGGTGGTTAAAGGCACTGGATTCCCATAGGTTGAACGCAGTTTGAGTTCCAGACCTGGCAGCTTGCTTTCTCACTCTCTCTCTGTCTCTTGCTCTGTCCCTCTCTGGTCCAATTAAGTAAATAAAGTTAAATAGAATAATTCTTTCAAGGAAGAAAGATGTAAAGGCCAGCCTGTTAATGGCTGAGAGAGCTGAGGTCCCGAGTCGTGCTGTGGCCAGGGCCTCCCGGACCCAAGAACCAGCGCGCGCTCAGCCAGTGTTTGACCTTTATTGGAGGTGTGGGGAGGGGGGCCCGCCCTGCACCCGGTCCCTGTTGGTGAACCCCGTCAGGGTTTAAGGCTCCAAGCAGCATGTGAGAGGAGGGTGCCTGGCCCCCCGTGCCCGGCAGGGGGCGCGGCCGCCTAGGTGAGGCTGGTGGGGCCCCTGCCCCGCTTCTGCGGGCAGCGCACGGAGCTGGGCACCTGGAGGCCGGTGGTCACCTGGAAGCTGCCGCACCACACCTGGCGGGAGGAGGGGAGGTTGGGGCTGAGCCGGCGATGCCTTCCCCGGAGCCCACCGGCGCCCACCGGCCCGCGGCTCACCGTGAAGGCGGGCAGCAGCGGCTGCGTGAACTTGGCCTTGAAGGTGTGCAGCAGCTGTTTGGTCCGGGCGTTGTAGAAGGACAGGAGGCCTGGCACGGAGGGGCAGGGGACCGGTCAGCGCTGGGGAGGGCCCAGGGGAGGGGGCGCGGCTCGGCCCGGCGGCGCGGCGGGTCACCTTGGTGGAAGTCGCAGTGCACACCCAGGCAGTCGGGCGCGGGCGCGTCCAGCACCTTGACCTTGTTGGCGTGCTTGGCCGTGAAGCTGACCTGCAGCCAGTTGTTGAGGTGCAGGCACCAGGACGCCGCCGTCTTGCCCAGCGGCTCGAAGCGGCCCAGGCTGCGGTAGGCCACGCCCACGCCGAAGGCCTTGCTGTCGGGGTCGTAGCGCACCTCCCAGTAATGCTCGCCCGCGTCGATCAGCGTGTCCCCTGCGGGCGGGCAGCGTGAGCGCCGTCCCCTCTGGAGATCCCAGCCACTGCACCCCAAACCTAGCTAGTCCCCAAACCCTGGTCCTCCGCGATCCGTTACCCCGTGCGTCCAGCTACTCCCCTCATCCGGGCGTCCCCAAGGCCCAGCCACGCAGACTGGGGTGCCCCGCCCAGCTGCTGCCCAGCCACTCCCAAGCCCAGAGCCTCTCCTTAACTGCACAGCTGGGGCTCCCCCAAAATCACCCCCCATCTTCTCACCTCCCAGTGCCCTTCCCAGCAAGGGAGCCCCCACCCCATCAGGGTCCTGCCCCGCCTCTCCCCATCCTCACCCAGCACCGTGTACGACTCAGCCGTGAAGCGGTCGCGTCCTCCACGGCCTGAGGGCATCCTCTTGGGAGACGGAGTACCCCTGTGGGTGGCAGAGGGGCGTGGCTCAGTGCAGCCCTCATCTCCCCCCCAGAGGGGCTTCTCCAGTCCTCCCGAGCCACCGTGAACATTTGCTCAGCCCCTGACAGCGCCTGCCTCTCTAAACACCGGGTCTTCCCTCTCGTGTCAGAACATTCAGTGCCTTACCTCACCTGGAAGACTCCTATTCAACTATCAAAACCCTATCCAAAAATCTCCTTGCCCCTCACTCACCCTCGAGACTCCTCTAGCCCCAGGGCCCTCCCTCCACCCCAGCCCTGGCCACGCTGGGCTCTGGGCGTCCATGTCCAGCTCGATCTGCTCCACCAGAGACTAAGGGAGGGGAGGGGGCAGGCTACCTGGCCGGGGAGTTGACGGGAGACGCCGTCCGCCCCTTGCCATCTTTCTCGCGAGCCTTGATATCCTGCACCTTCCCGCCCATAGCGTCCCACTCCACGGAGAGATCGTCCACCCGCAGGTTCTGGTGGGATGTGGACGCATCCAGGTGGAACATGAACGCTGGGGCCAGGCAGACAGGGAGTCACAGAGATGGGGAGACCCAGAGAGACACAGAGAGAGTCACAGAGACAGACAGTGACCAAGACAGACCCAGACAGAGACGGAGCAGAGAGACGAGGAGACCGAGCCTGAGAGAAACTGCCAAAGGTTCTAAGAGACACAGAGAGAAAGAGAGACAGAGGCAGAGAGACACCCACGAGGAAAGGACGGGGAGCAGGGAGCATGGAGCCAGAGGCGTGAAGGCCGGGGTTGCTGCCTACGTCTATCCTAGGTCTGGAGGCATCCTCAGGCCTGCTGGGCTGCCCTGCACTTGCGGTGGGGATTAGCCCCAGGAAAGGGGCTGGCCTACAGCAGGGACTTAGGCTAGACCACAGGGAACTTCCTGGCGGGACGTGCCACCATGTTACTGAGGAAGCTGGGGACCCGCCTTATGACTGATACTCTGTCCCAGCGCTACAGAGGATTTATCTATGTGTGGAAAAGAGAAAGAAAGAGTAAAAACCATCCAGGTAGAATGGAGGAAAACGAAGGATGAAAGCAGATTGTTCCTGACGCTGAGTTCAGGATGCCACTGGGAACTGAGCCCTGAGCTCCCCAGCAGGCAGGGCAACAAACACCACAGATCGCTGAGTAAAGGGTTCTCGTGATGCATTGATCCCGAGGGCACCGGGAGGAAGGGGTCATGGACTCAGGGGCGGGGCAGGGTGGTGGCCAGTCACCTGACGTCTCTAGGGTCACCGGCTCAGAGAACTCGCCTGCAACCGCCTTGTTACAGGCCTTCACACGGAAGTTCATGTACTTCATGTCGAACTTGAGACCTAGGAGGCAACATTATGTATTTTCTGAGACTCTGAGCAACAGCTTAGTCATAGCCTATGCGTCCCACAAGAATCCCACTGCCCCCCATCCTCAGGAGCACCCTAGAAATGGCACCTTATCACTGAGCGGCCAACCTAAACCTCATCCACCTCGGGGCTATGGAGTTCTTGACTCCGCCTCCAACTCACACTGGCCAATCAGGATGATTTATGATAATACAGTCACAGTGGTTGGCTCAGGGACAAAGCACTGACCCAACGTTGGCCAATCAGAATGGGCCCTGGGACTGTGGTACTACAGCAAGCCACCCCTCTTTTCCCTAGGCTGGCCAGCTAGGAGGTAGGTTGCCTGAGAAAACCCGCCAGTACATTTGGCAAGCCTCCTTGACAACGCACCCCACAGTCAACAACGGTGGGGACAAAGGGGACAGGGCCACCTGCTGCAACCCCTGCATGGAGCCATACGCGGTTACTTAAAGAGCCTCCCTATGGCCCAGCCATGGGGCTGTGCTGCTCAGGTGCTGAGCCCCACGGGCCAGGATCACGTGGGAGGCTGGTGTTCAGTTCCTGGTGCAGTCCAAAGGCTGAGTGTAGTGGCATGTGCCTGAAATCTCAGCGACTTGGGGAGCCTGAGACAAGAGGATTGTGACATAGCAAAAATCCTGGCTTTAAAAGGGGGGGGGGCAGGCCAGCAGGTGGCATGGTGGTTAAGGGGCTGGACACTCCCGTATGGCGGACCACAGTTCGAGTCCTGGGCCTGATGGCTTGCTTTCTCGCTTTCCCTCTCTTCTTTCCCTGTCTCTCTCTGGTCAAATTAAAAACAAAACAAAACGAGGAGCCAGCAGATGGCGTAGCGGTTATATCGCTGGACTCCCACATGGCACAATGTGGTTTGAGTCCTGGACCTGGCGGCTTAAAACTCATGCCAGGCATGTGTGTGTGCATGCCCAAGATCCCAGAGAAAATGGAGAAGGGATTGTGGTGTGGCCATCCTCCCGGGGGGAGGGTGATTTCTCACTTTCCCTCTCGCTGTCTCTGTCTCTCTCTCCTTCCCATCTAATACACATGCCCTAAGGCAAAAACCTCTAAAAAATAAAATAAAATAGGGACCAGCAGATGGCCTAATGGCTATATCACTGGACTCCCAGGTAGTCGACTGCAGTTTGAGTCCTGGACGGGGTGACTTAAACTCACATCGGGCGTGTGTGAGTGTGTGCCCAAGATCCCTGTAGCAAAAACCACCACTTCAAACAAACAAACAAACAAAAAAACTCTCCAAAAAAATAAATAAAAAGGTGGGGGACCAGCAGATGGTATAATTGTTATGTCACTGGACTCCCACATAGTCGACCATGGTTTGAGTTCCAGAACCGGTAGCTGGAAATTCACGCTGGGCATGTGTACATAAGTACCCAAAATCTCAGAGGAGAAGGGAGGGGAAGGGATTGTGGCATGGTCATCCCCCTCTAGGGGAGTGATTTTTCGCTTTCTGTCTCTGTCTCTGTGTCTCTGGCGAGTGTACACACCCTATAGCAAAAATTTCCCTCTCTAAAAAAAGAAAATATATTGAATTTTAATTATCATCATCATTATTATTATTGTTTAATTTGCTATAGGGCAGATGCGCTCACCAGAGAGAGACAGAGAGAGGGAGACAGCCATGTGGGAATCCAGCACCATAACCACCGTACCACCGGCTGGCCCGGCAACTTCCCGGTTCCGACGGTGAACTATATAAAGCTACCAGCACTGGGGGAAGTTGAGTGAAGGCGACCTGGATCCTCACTCCTTTTCGTGTGTGTACAACTTCCTGTGAATCCGTAATTATTTCAAAATAAAAAGTAACAACAAATATATTAGTATATATATTTACATGGGTGTGTTTGTGTTGGTCTTCATGCCAAGAATAAAGCAACAGCTCCTCAGCCCTCTGGCTGGGTGCCTGCCTCCCCTGTAATTAGCAGGCTCATTATTAACCACGAGTGCTAATTACAGATAACCAGCCAGGAGCCAGCCAGTGGATCTGATGTCACCACTGAGCACAGCTCCCCGAGGGCTTCCTGGGGTTCAGGACCGCTTTTCTTTTTTCTTTTTTAAAGAGGCTTTTTGCTGTAGGGTGCATGCAGTCAGCAGAGAGAGAGAGACAAAAACTGAGAGATCTGTCCCCAGGAAGACAGCCACGCCACAAGCCGTCTTCCACGTGCCCAGTAAGAGTTTCAAGCCACTAGGTCTGGGACTCAAACCATGTGGGAGTGCAGGCACCTGCTGGTCCCCCCCAAATGGCCTTCTTAAAAAATCTATTGTGATTGGCCGTGCGGGAGTCCAGGGCCTTAACCACCATGCCACCTGCTGGTCCTCCCCAGAATGGCACTTTAAACTCACTAGGAATCCTGGAGTTTTCCTCCAGACCTCCCTCGCCATCTGGGTGGCTTCCCCAGAAATTCCCCGATGGCTGGAGGGTACATCCAGGGAGCCATAGCCCTCTTCTTTTTATCTTTTAGAGAGATTTCTTTTGCTATAGGGCACACGTGTTTGCCAGGGAGACAGAAAGTGAGAAGTCACCCGCCCCCACAGGGGTTTGGCCACGCCACAGTCCCTTCTCCTCCATTGTCCTCTTGGGATCTTGGGCACACATGCACATGTGCCCAGCTTGAGGTTTAAGCTACCGGGTCCGGGACTTGAACCGTGGTAGTCTACATGGGAGTCCAGCGACGTAATCATTACGCCACCTGCTGGTCCCCAGAGCGCCATCTCTGGGGGGGGGCAGGCCAGCAGGTGGCATGGTGGTTAAGGGGCTGGACACTCCCGTATGGCGGACCACAGTTCGAGTCCTGGGCCTGATGGCTTGCTTTCTCGCTTTCCCTCTCTTCTTTCCCTGTCTCTCTCTGGTCAAATTAAAAACAAAACAAAACGAGGAGCCAGCAGATGGCGTAGCGGTTATATCGCTGGACTCCCACATGGCACAATGTGGTTTGAGTCCTGGACCTGGCGGCTTAAAACTCATGCCAGGCATGTGTGTGTGCATGCCCAAGATCCCAGAGAAAATGGAGAAGGGATTGTGGTGTGGCCATCCTCCCGGGGGGAGGGTGATTTCTCACTTTCCCTCTCGCTGTCTCTGTCTCTCTCTCCTTCCCATCTAATACACATGCCCTAAGGCAAAAACCTCTAAAAAATAAAATAAAATAGGGACCAGCAGATGGCCTAATGGCTATATCACTGGACTCCCAGGTAGTCGACTGCAGTTTGAGTCCTGGACGGGGTGACTTAAACTCACATCGGGCGTGTGTGAGTGTGTGCCCAAGATCCCTGTAGCAAAAACCACCACTTCAAACAAACAAACAAACAAAAAAACTCTCCAAAAAAATAAATAAAAAGGTGGGGGACCAGCAGATGGTATAATTGTTATGTCACTGGACTCCCACATAGTCGACCATGGTTTGAGTTCCAGAACCGGTAGCTGGAAATTCACGCTGGGCATGTGTACATAAGTACCCAAAATCTCAGAGGAGAAGGGAGGGGAAGGGATTGTGGCATGGTCATCCCCCTCTAGGGGAGTGATTTTTCGCTTTCTGTCTCTGTCTCTGTGTCTCTGGCGAGTGTACACACCCTATAGCAAAAATTTCCCTCTCTAAAAAAAGAAAATATATTGAATTTTAATTATCATCATCATTATTATTATTGTTTAATTTGCTATAGGGCAGATGCGCTCACCAGAGAGAGACAGAGAGAGGGAGACAGCCATGTGGGAATCCAGCACCATAACCACCGTACCACCGGCTGGCCCGGCAACTTCCCGGTTCCGACGGTGAACTATATAAAGCTACCAGCACTGGGGGAAGTTGAGTGAAGGCGACCTGGATCCTCACTCCTTTTCGTGTGTGTACAACTTCCTGTGAATCCGTAATTATTTCAAAATAAAAAGTAACAACAAATATATTAGTATATATATTTACATGGGTGTGTTTGTGTTGGTCTTCATGCCAAGAATAAAGCAACAGCTCCTCAGCCCTCTGGCTGGGTGCCTGCCTCCCCTGTAATTAGCAGGCTCATTATTAACCACGAGTGCTAATTACAGATAACCAGCCAGGAGCCAGCCAGTGGATCTGATGTCACCACTGAGCACAGCTCCCCGAGGGCTTCCTGGGGTTCAGGACCGCTTTTCTTTTTTCTTTTTTAAAGAGGCTTTTTGCTGTAGGGTGCATGCAGTCAGCAGAGAGAGAGAGACAAAAACTGAGAGATCTGTCCCCAGGAAGACAGCCACGCCACAAGCCGTCTTCCACGTGCCCAGTAAGAGTTTCAAGCCACTAGGTCTGGGACTCAAACCATGTGGGAGTGCAGGCACCTGCTGGTCCCCCCCAAATGGCCTTCTTAAAAAATCTATTGTGATTGGCCGTGCGGGAGTCCAGGGCCTTAACCACCATGCCACCTGCTGGTCCTCCCCAGAATGGCACTTTAAACTCACTAGGAATCCTGGAGTTTTCCTCCAGACCTCCCTCGCCATCTGGGTGGCTTCCCCAGAAATTCCCCGATGGCTGGAGGGTACATCCAGGGAGCCATAGCCCTCTTCTTTTTATCTTTTAGAGAGATTTCTTTTGCTATAGGGCACACGTGTTTGCCAGGGAGACAGAAAGTGAGAAGTCACCCGCCCCCACAGGGGTTTGGCCACGCCACAGTCCCTTCTCCTCCATTGTCCTCTTGGGATCTTGGGCACACATGCACATGTGCCCAGCTTGAGGTTTAAGCTACCGGGTCCGGGACTTGAACCGTGGTAGTCTACATGGGAGTCCAGCGACGTAATCATTACGCCACCTGCTGGTCCCCAGAGCGCCATCTCTAAGGCGCTGAGATTGCCGTCTTTACCGGTGCCGGTGAGCTGTAGGCGTGCAGCGAATAGGATGAATGGTGAGGGTGAACGGCGCTGGGAGAGGGGAGGTGAGGACGGAAGGCCCGGGTGCGGCGGGTCCTGTGTCTCAGAGCCCAAAGGCATGCCCGTTACACGTGGGCGAACGACGCCCAGCGCCTAGAAAGGGCCACCCGGGCCGCGCTGCCGTCAGTACGGGTTCCCTTATTATTACTCCGCACCCCCAGGAGGCGGCGGTGCACACTGGGCGCCCTGGGAGGCCAGGCCGGCTTACCCGTCAGGGTGTACTCCATGCGCCGGACGCCCTCTATCACCATCCAGGGCTGGTCCTCCTTGAGGCGCGGCGGGCCCTCGAAGTTGGTCCTCCGGTACTCTAGCACGTAGTGGTCGATCTTGCTGTCCTCGTCCGGCATGCGCCACACCAGGGTCACACAGTTATCTGCCACCACGGACTCAGCCAGGTCGATCACAGGGGCGCTAGGCACTGCCCAGGACAGAGGGAGAGGTCAGGGCCCTGGGCCTGCAGGACGGATCTGGCTGGCGCTGCACCCACGTGGTAGACAGCAGGGGTGTGGCTTCCTCTGATCATGCCCCTTGTGGGTGTGGCCTAATGTACTACCCCTGGGGTGGGGCCTCTTCGAGGTTCTGGGACCCCCCCCAAAGGGGGACCTCCTGGGGTGCCTCAAGAGTGGGAGTCAGGGCAGATCCTTCTTGGGATTCAACCAGTAAAGGGCAGAGTCACTTAGGATCCCATTGCACAAAGGCAAAACTTGCAGAATTCTCTAATTGGGGGGTGTGGTGCAGCTTGCCTGGAGTTCTACACCTGCAGGTAGAGGTTTTTGTGACCCCACTACCTGGTGGGAGGGGCCGCCTGTGGCTCCGCCCCTCAAGGACTTGGGGGTCAAGTGTCTCCAGTCAGAGGTGGGAATCACTGTGGCTCCACCCCAATGAGGCGGGGCATCTAGAGGCCCCACCCAGGGGCGGGCCTGCCTGGGTTTCGGACAGTCGGATTGGTCAGCCGGTCCTAGGTTCTTTCCCAGGGTTTCTGACCGGAATGGAGATCCCGGCCCGGTAGCCTGCCCGTTATGGACTCACCGGGCAGGAACTTGAGTGCCTGTAGCATCTGCCGCTCCTGGGCGAAGTCCACCATCAGGTGACTCATGTTGTCGCTCACCTTGGCTTTCAGTGACAGCCGGAAGGCAGGCGCCATCGTCACGCTGCAGGGGTGCAAGGGCAGGGACAGGGATGCCTGCTGCAGGAGTCTCGGCACCCGGGTCCGTGGGTCTGCTCTATGTGGGGAGGGACCACGCTCCCACGTCCCCACCCTCTCCCCAGGGCTAGGGCATGGGGTGGAGGAACAGACCGGGTCTTACCCATCTTTGATTTGCCTGGCAGCCTAAAGAGGGGACAGAGCACAAGTCAGAGACGCACCCTGACGGAGCAGGGAGCCCCGCGGACAGGAGGCTGGGCACTGCCCAGCGCGTGGCAGCCCCGGCCCGGGGCAAACCGTGCTGGGTGTTCTTGTTTGTTTTTTAGAGAGCTTTGCTATGGGGCATGTGCACTCACTGGAGAGACAGAGACAGACAGTGAGAAATCACTCCCTGGGGGGATGACCACACTACAATCCCTTCTCCATTCCCGTCTGGGGATCGGGGCATGCACGCATATATGCCCAGTGTGAGTTTGAAGTCGCTGGGTCTCGGACTCCAATCACAGTGGGCCACGTGGGAGTCCAGTGCTTTAACCTCTGTGCCACCTGCTGGCCCTGGGAACCATGAATTTTTAAATATTTTATTTTTTGCCAGAGGGTGCATGCACTCAATGGAGTGAGACGCAGAACTAGGAAAACAGAACCCCCCCCCGGGGGGATGGTCACACTGCAGAGCCATGTTCTCCACGTCTCCCTCCTTTTGGAGGGATCTTGGGCACACACGCACACGAGCCTGGCGTAAGTTTAAGCCCCTGGGTCTGGGACTCGAACCACAGTCGGCTACATGGGAGTCCAGCGACATAGCCATTGCGCCAACTGCTGGTTACAATAAGTCATTTTTTTTTAACAAAAGTACTCGTCGATGTGCGAAACCAGTTTACCTGGGCGCCCTGTATTTTTGCTGGCCACCCTGCTTGTATGGCAGCAGAGGGGCCTGCCTACCTGCGAGAAGTCCTCGCTGTCAGTGGCCTGCAGGGTCTGATTGGCTGTCTCCAGAAGCTCCTCAGAGCTCTCCAGGGCCCGAGTGCAGGCAGCCAGCTGGTTCTGTGGGGAGGGTGGCACCAATTGGCACAGTGCCAGGCACCAAAGACAACTCGCTCCACTACTCTCAGGGCTACGTGGGAGAGAGTCTGGGGCCGGGTTCCTGGCCACCCATCAGAAGTCACCCTTAAAATCTGACGTGCCCAGTCCACACCTGAGCCCCTGGGAACGGGAATCCCAGACGTGAGAACGTCTCCCAGGAGGCCTGGCTACAGCCCCAGAGACCCCAGCAGGAGGGGACACAGACCGATCTGGGGCACCCATGGGAGGAGCTGAGTGCACACGGGGGATGAGCTGAGCCAGATGTGGGGCGTGGAGATGGGGTATTAAGCCAGCAGGTGGAGGGGGTACTGATGGGCGCCGGCAGGCGTGGGGGCGGGGAGAGGCCGAGGCGTGAGACCCGGGAGCACGGAGAGTAGAGGAAGAGGCAGCTGGGCCGGGTGAGGTCTGCGGCCGGCTTCCCGCCCAGCCTTGCACCTGCAGCTCGTAGGTCCGGCTGGCCCGGTCCTGCTTGATCTTCATGAGCATCCCCTCCTTCAGCTCCTCCAGGAGGGAGAAGAGGGACTGGAACTCCGCCTCCAGGTCCTCCTGCACCCTAGCTGAGTTCGCCTGGGTCGGGACGTGTGCAGATGGGGAAACTGAGGCTGCACGCGGCCAGTTGCCCCGCCCCCGGCCCGGCCCCACGCTCACCTCCACGTTGAGCAGCATCTATTTGAGGGAGTAGATGAAGCTCTGGATCTCCTCGTTCTTCATGGCCAGGGTGGTGATGATCTTCCGCAGAGCCTCCTGCACACACGTGCGCACGCGCACACACGCACGCACCAGGTAAGCCTCTGGGTCGGCCTGAGCCCCCACCCAGGCTCCCCGCTCTCTCCTCCAGGGATCAGGGGAGGATGTGGGGGGCGAAGCTCCCGCCCAGCAGCCGGGCGCCATGGCGGCCCATTTCACAGGCGAGGAAACTGAGGCTCAGGACAGCCCCTCGGCGCTGCTCCAGGGCTGCCTGAGGCGAAGCCTTCAACAGCCCCTACGCCCAAAGGTGGGGCCCGCGCTGGGGACGGGGAGCCTGGGGGAGAGACCCCAGGGTGAAGGATGCCCGCGGGGGAGGAGGGAGCCTGGGATAAAGGCCCCCCTGTTTCCAGGGCGAGCCAGGCAGGGACCTACCCGAGGCCGGGCCTGCCTGGGGAAGGGGCGAGGTAGGCCAAAGGGTCACCTGGACAAAGGTCAGCGGAGCCCGTGGGTGGGAAGGGGACCCCGGGGCGCTGTGGGCGGGTCCTGCGCGGGCCTCTGGCTCCCAGGGCCCTTGTTCCGGGAGCGCAGGGTCTGCGGGGTGGGCACTGCGGAGCCGGCGGGGCCACCTCCCAGGGCGTGGGGGGGGGGGTCAGGGCTGGGGCCG